CCAGGAGAATCAACGTCCTATTTAAAGCAAAAAGCTTCATACCATAGGCTATCTGTTCTGTGTTTACTGTAGGGAGTACCTCCAAATGTTAGCATTATACGTCCTTAAGCTTACCTCTGAAACAGCGGTGGCCTCTTTATTATAAATACTAGGGCAAATGAGTACTGTTTCAAGACCATTAAAGCAATTACTTTCATAATGTGTGAAAAATAATCCATCTCCTAGCGTTTTAAGAACGGTAAGTTTTTACAAGATTTACTGAGTACATTGTGTGGGTTAACAGACAAAGGCTAGAGAGCAAATCATACGCAACTTATAGAGATAACCTGTTTAAAATACAGTAAACAAAAGTAAACCTACTTGAAAGAACAAGGAGTAATTTCCACATTTCTGTTAGTATTTTCGAATTTTATGAAAACAGGTAATGTTCAAAATGATTGCTTCGTACGTGTCGGAGTGATATGTACGGCTCTAAATAAAGAGCCAGCTAACGTGAGAGTGTAATGCTATCGCAGGTGGTCTACGCTCATCGCAACGTTCGTTTAGTATTTCCGCTTACATGGGAGGATAACATGTGGCTCATTGAAAACCTGATAAGGAACATTAGATAACTTCGAATTTGGTATTATTCGCGCTCAGACTCACAGAACTATCAGATGATACCGGTTGAAGGTGTGCCTAGACTTAACACGTGACACATCTATTTATATAGCGCATAGTCAAGATAATTAACTTTTTTTTCATATTATTGTTTTAAATAAAATATTCTTCCAGTTTCGTTTTTTTTAAAGTTAAACACAAAGCTACACAATGGGCTATCTGTGCTCTGCCCACCACGGGTATCGAGACCCGGTTTCTAGCGTTGTAAGTCCGCAGACATACCGCTGTACCACTGGGGCGCACCTTTCAGTTTCCTAACCACCTTTATTTTCCACCAAAACACAAGATAGGTGATGTTAGACGAACAGTTTAGTAGCCTTAATTTGAATCTACAAGGTTTTTTGCAACAGCTGAAACTATAGTAACACATCCACCGTACCATCCGTAAGTGAAGTCCAACCTGTTCTCACAAAGTGAACTGAACTGTTACTGTAGTAACACATCCACCGTACCATCCGTAAGTGTAGTCCAACCTGTTCTCACCAAGTGAACTGAACTGTTACTGTAGTAACACATTCATAGTACCATCCTTAAGTGAAATGCAAACTGTTCTCAGAAAGTGAATTGTTACAGCTGTTGGCCATTGTTGTGATACCGAACCTCTTACGTTGCAAACTAATGGTCTTAAAGTAATGCTTCTACCAAGCCAATAAATATTTTATCTAATAATGATTCAATTATGTTATTTCCCAAAATGTCTTTTGTTGTGATTTCTGTAATTTCCTTGTCATCGGTAAATACTGATTTATCGCCATCATTTTGTTAATTATCATTAACACAAGCCATTACGGATATTAAGGTTCTTTTACTTCTAAGGAAAACTTGCGAGGTTACTTGAGATATGAGAAAACTAAATCGTAGCGTTGATGATTTATCTACAAATATATTCAGAATATACAAAAACATGTTCATGTTTCTTTGAATTTTTATGTTACTAACTACTTTTAATTATTTTTTTCCAGTTTAATTTTCAATAAAACTGTTTCTTTACTCCTAATTTTTATAGCCAAAGAATTTACTTAGAAAATATGTAGAATATAAATTCACATCAATTGAAATTTTAATGTATTGAAAAACCTGTACCACTTAGCTGAATTTTGAGAGTTTACTCATTCTGCTAATCTAAAATTGGAAAGTGTTCTATTTGTAAATACTGTAGTGGAAAATCATTATTTTTAATATTCCCATGAATATGTTAATGTGAAAATAAAATAACATACAAACATTGGTACAGGTTGTTATTGCCTCAGTCACCAATGGGGAAATGAGCAAGAGTAATCTTAGTTATAAATAAATACTAGTATAATTTGACGTGTACCTCAATAAACGTAAGTAAAAGTTTGGAGACTGCTTGAATTGGTAACGAAGATAACTTCTTTATAAATTTACAATGTTTCGACAAAATTATATCATCATCCGGTACCTAAAAAGTCGGTTACCCGTCATCAAAAATGAGCGTATATGCATTGTAGGGTAATAGTATTAGTATTATATTTTACCCTTTCATAATTAGTATATTCAGGCATATTCAGATAAGTTTTTCTAAACGTTCACGCATGTGTTATTGTCATGATATAAAATAATCAGTTTAAATATTACCTATTAATTTATTTTTGTGAGTGAATATTTAATTATTGTTTAGTTTTTGTTATAATAAAAGTTAAAAGCAGAGGATTGTAGGAAGTTGTGTTCATAATTCATTGATGTTGAGACTATCGAACGTCGCATGCAATACATTGACGTCGAGAGTATAGAGGTTCCTAGAAGGCTGACAAACAATTAAGCTATAAACATATAAATAGAGTGAGACGATCGGAAAGAGCAGATGGGCAATAACAGAAGAGAGTAAAGATACGGGCAAGGAAAAGTTCAGCGTCAAGTTAACTTATTATTAAGTGATTGGCTGGATAAAAAGCTGTGTTGTGGCTACTGGTAACTAATTCTGACCTTTCTTCTCCGAGTAAACTTGCTGTTTTGTTTTCTAAAAATTAAATTTTTGTACTGTAAGGAAGTTTCAGCTTAAGGTATATGTCTGGCAAATGATATGTTTGAATTTTATATTCATATTCTATACAATTTGTTATTTGAAGGATAGTTCATATAGCGTAAAAAATGTGGGCGATGAATACATTTCGAGACGTTGAACTCATGTCGATTATTAACTTATTGTTGTTAAACCCAAAATCATTATATCCAAACAGCAAAGAAAGCATACATACACAAGAGGTACAAATAACAGAGAAATCTTTTTCCGTACAATGAATGTGCCTTTGCTGGTCAGCTTCTGTTTCATTAAGTGTTTTCTTACTGGCCAAGCCCAGCATGGCCAAGTGATTAGAGTGCTGACTTGGTTCGAATCCCCATCCCACCAAACATGCTCGACCTTTCGGCAGTGAGTTATAATGTGATGGTCAATCCCACTATTCATTGGTAAAAGAGTAGCTCAAGAGTTGGGGATGGGTGGTGATGACAAGCTGCCTTCCCTATGATCTTTCACTGCTAAATTAGAGAGAGCTAGTGCAGATAGTCTTCGTGTGGCTTTGCGCGAAGTTCAAAACAAACCATACTGGCCACTCGAGTAAAGTTTGCTAAAACACGTCTGAACAGGACAAGAATACGATCAAAAATAATGTAATACCACGCTGTCAAGCAGGGTTCCAGTGCAGTAATCAGATTTTAGATTATTTATGTCACAAATTAGTCTAAATAAACATATACTAGGAGAGAGCCTCAATTTATGCTAACTTCAAATACCCCTGTTTCATCCTTTTGGAATAAACGTAACCTCACTCCAGAGGCCAGGCACAGTAACAGAGCCAAGACGGTATAAGTTCTATAGAATAATTGTCCTAACATGCAACCTATACCAAAGCAAGAGTCTTATTGTAAGTTTATTACCTTGGTGCATATACACCCTGTTAACCAGGAAGAAGCTATGTACACGGAGAACTGTCAGAATTTAAAAAATATTTTTTTATCGCCAGTTGTCAAAATATAAGGCTTTTACTAATATTTCTTAATAGTATATATATATATATATATTGTGACTTGTTGGCGATAAATTCAATGATAAATGAACAGCATGACCTTCACTTGATTTCAAAATAATATATATACATTCGGAACAAGTTAAACTTATGTACAACAAATTCTTCACACTACAGAGATTATAGGCATATCATAAACACTATATATATAGTTATCTTCTTCTTGTCAAAAGTCCACTTCGGCCTATTCAATTGCTTTAGAATTTCAGTTGACAAGCCGAACTATCTTCTCTATTACTATCGTACTAGTATTCTATGTGTGATTCACTTACAATTGTGGCACGAGTTACCGTAATCGTTTGGTCTTCTTTCTTCTAAATATTCTCTGCTCCTTTTATTAAAGTGCACTCAGGCTGATTCAATTACATTAGAATCACGCTTTGACGGAATAAATTATTCTTCCTATCTCCTTTTCTACTGTTAGTCTTATCACTTCTACGGTAGTTAACTTGACGCCGAACTTTTCCTTGCCCGTAACTTTACTCTCTTCTGTTATTGCCTATCTAGTTTTATTATTGTATCTGTCATTTCTTCTCCATTTTCTTGTATTGTAGTATGTATTTCCCCTTTTTTATTATCAACATCTTTACAATCTTTACCTCTATTTATAATAACTTTACTTTCAATTTTCCTTCCGCTCTCTGGATTTTCTTTTTTAGTTGTTCTATAAACCACATTTCCTTCTGTTTCCATTTTTCATCACTTTTTTCTCTTTTCCATTCTACATAAAACATTCCAATAGTCTATCAGTGCTTCAAAAATATCTTTATTCTCTGTTCTTTCATTGAATAAATTCCAAATTTTTGAGCCAATTTCTGGGAACTTCATTTTTTGATTTTCCATTTTAACTTCCAGAGCTTCAATTTCGATCCACAGATTTTCTAATTATTTCTAATCTTGTTCTCAATTGTTTTTCTTCATTTGAAATAGCTTCATTAATTTTTTCGCGAATATATATATATACCACAGTGCCCACAATTCAACAGGTAACATTTTGTGGTTTTATATCCAGATGCTGCAGACAGAAGAAATGTATTTAACACGCAGATTTCTGTTCAGAAATCAAGCTGTACTCATTCAGACACTCATTGCTCCAATTACCTGGTTTATACCAATGTTTGTTTACAATTACAAATGAACGGATATTCAGTTTCCAGCATGGTGAGAGAAGTAGAAGAGACTGAAACTGGCTATATAACTAGTGCTGCTTTAGCTACACTACACCAAAAAGAAAGAAATAATTATCTGAGCACTGCAGATTAAATGAAAATTGTTTATAGACAAATTAGGATTACAAATGTGACAATAACTCGGTAAGTTGCTAGTAGTGTTTGCTGATGTGTTTGTGCGACCAGATAATCACTTTCCACACATATCTAATAAAGCAAGCTTCAGGGATGTCGTCACAACTGAGATAGGATGGTTGTGGCAGGACAGGTTAATACAAATTTATGATCGTGCTTGGCCATCTCCAGCAGTGATCATAAGGAAGAAGGAGGGAGCACGCAGGTTCTGAGAGCACTTAAGGCAGATAAATGTTGTAACATGCACTGATGTCCTTCCTTTGACAAAATGAATTAATGTCTTGATACACTGGAAGACACAGATTGGTCCAATACATTAAATTGTGTCTGGTTACACGCAAGTGAAACTGGATTATGAGAGCAGACCCAAAACTGCTTTAAGCACTTGAGAAAATTGTTATAAATTTCGTTTTAATACTATTTAGCCTGTGTAATGCATCTGCCACATTTCGATGATTGATGGAACTTATAAGCTCCACCAACCACTGAAATTAATATATTGCTAAG